GTGTGTGCGTGCGTGTGTGCGTGTGTGCATGAGTGTGTGCGCGTCGAAGGACCGGAAAAAATAAAAGTTGGTGGTGAAAGATTGTTTCGTCAGAGTTGCACCGACTCATCAGGAGGCTTAACCCTGACAATATGTGGAATCCCCGTATATGATGGTTTGGGTCATGAACCCTTTGACCCATGTTGAAGGCAGACTGTCCACAAGCGGGACATAACAGCGGGCAGCAACCCTGTGGAGCACCAGGCAACACGGCTGCACAATGCCAAAAACGACTGCAAGGAACGACATGGCATGCAGGGCATGCAGCGCAACAGCCGTGTCATGAAGCACAAGAGAACACAAGCAAGGCAACAACACTGCAGGGAACGACAGGGCGAGCGGACCAGCAGCTTGGCAACCGTGGAGCAGAGCACAAGGCACCAGCAACAAGGCAACCAACCTACAGGGCACACAAGCGGCAAACGCGGAAGGTACGGCCACCGGATGAGCAGCACGGCAGCGAAGCAGCGAAGCGCAAGGCAACACCAGCAACACGGCTACACCTAATAGCGATTACATCAACCTGCAAAGAACCACATGTGAAGCAAACAGGACAGACAGCAGGGCAACTGCGGAGCGCAGACAAGGATGTCCACACATCCAACATGGAGCAAAGCAGCACATGACCTACTCACATCACCATTGAACCCCGCAGATTGTTGGTCCACCACCCGCTGAGCCAGGGAGACACTCCGACGACCATCCGTCATCACCGACAGGCAACACAGACATCCCGAACCGAGCGGGCCGCCTAAGAGTGCAGTAGGCACTCCAAACGAGGAACCACCGACTGTTTGGCACTACTTAAGGGTGCTCAGTTGGGCACAGAAAAGAAATACTTAGAAAAAAACAGGGGGAGGACAGACAACAGAGAAAGACTAACAAACATAAAACTGATTGTGTGTGTGTGTGTGTGTGGGAGGGGGCGGGGGGGGGGCAGTGGGCTGGAAGGGGGGGCGACCCTCCCCCAACCAACCAATCAATCAATCAAGCAAGCAAGCAAGCAAGCAATCAATCAATCAATCAATCAATCAATCAATCATCAATCAATCAATCAATCAATCAATCAATCAATCAATCAATCATCAATTAATCAATCAATCAATCAATCAATCAATCAATCAATCAATCAATCAATCATCAATTAATCAATCAATCAATCAATCAATCAATCATCAATCAATCAATCAATCATCAATCAATCAATCAATCAATCATCAATCAATCAATCAATCAATCAATCAATCAATCAATCAATCAATCAATCAATCAATCTTTTTTTTTTAATTCCCGAAACCCCAGCCCCCCCTCCCCCTTCCCCCCAACCAACCCCAAAACAATTTTTTTTCTTTTTTTTCTTTTTGACTTTCGGGGGGTAGCCCCCGGCATGCACACCCCCCCCCACCCACTCATGTGTCAGAAGCCCCCCGGGAAGGCTGCCGTACGGCCTCTCGGGGCCCGTACGTACGGCCGTATGGGCCGCACGGCTGCCCCGTATTCGTACTGGGTGCAACATAGATGGCCACTTCGGAGCTTTGCTTGAAATCGGGGAGGGGCGCGAACTCCCCCTCCCCCTTTTTTTTTTCCGAAAATGCTGTTTTCTTTCGGGGAGAGTTAATCGCCAATGTAATCATGCTTTGCCCACACCGGACCTTTGATGGCCACTTCGAACCTGCTTGGTTTAGGGTTTAGGGTTTAGAGATAATCGCCAATGTAATCGTGTATTGGCCACGTCGGACCTTTGATGGCCAAGTCAGACCTTTGCTTGGTTTCGGGAGAGGGAAGCAAATACCCCCTCCCCCTTTTTTTTTTTGAAAATGCTGTTCTCTTATGGGGAGAGATAATTGCCAATTTAATCGTGTATTGGCCACATCGGACCTTTGATGGCCAAGTCGGACCTTTGCTTGGTTTCGGGGAGGGGAGCGAACTCCCCCTCCCCTTTTTTTTTTTTTCAAAAATGCTGTTTTCTTATGGGGAGAGATAATCGCCAATTTAATCGTGCATTGGCCACGTCGGACCTTTGATGGCCATGTCGGACCTTTGCTTGGTTTCGGGGAGGGGAGCGAACTCCTCCCACCCCCCTTTTTCGTTTTTTTGAAAATGCTGTTTTCTTTTGGGGAGATATAATTGGCAATGTAATCGTGTATTTGCCATGTCGGACCTTTGATGGCCATGTCGGACCTTTGCTTGGTTTCGAGGAGGGAGCAAACTCCCCCTCCGTTTTTTTTTCTTCACAAATGCTGTCTTTTTTGGGGGGGAGAGATAATCGCCAATGTAATCGTGCTTTGCCCACGCCGGACCTTTGATGGCCACTTCGGACCTTTGCTTGGTTGGTTTCGGGGAGGGGATCGAACTCCCCCTCCCCTTTTGTTTTTTTCGAAAATGCTGTTTTAGATTCAGGAGAGATAATCGCCAATGTAATGGTGTATTGGCCACGTCGGACCTTTGATGGCCAAGTCGAACATTTGCTTGGTTTCGGGGAGGGGAGCGAACTCTCCCTCCCCTGAAAGTTTTTTTTTCCGAAAATGCTGTTTTTTTTGGGGGGTGAATCGTAATGCCAATATGATCGTGTGTTGGCCACTTCAGACCTTTACTTGAAATCGGGGAGGGGATCGAACTCCCCCTCCCCCTTTTTTTTTTTTTGAAAATGTTGTTTTCTTTCGGGGAGACATAATCCCTAATGTAATCTTGTATTGGCCACTTCGGACCTTTGATGGCCATGTCGGACATTTGCTTGTTTTCGGGGAGGGGATCGAACACTCCCTCCCCTTTTTTGTTTTTTCCGAAAATGCTGTTTTTTTATGGGGAGAGATAACCGCCAATGTAATTGTGTGTTGGCCACGCCGGACCTTTGATGGCCATGTCGGACCTTTGCTTGGTTTCAGGGAGGGGAGCAAACTCCCCCTCCCCTTTTTTTTTCCGAAAATGTCGTTTTTTGGGGGGGGGTGAATTGTAATGTCAATGTGATCGTGTGATGGCCACTTCGGACCTTTGCTAGGTTTCCAGAAAGGGATGAAACTCCCCCTCCTTTTTTTTAAATTGAAAATAATAGTTTTTATGTTGGGGGCGGGGGTACAGTGTTCTCAAAACGTCGCATCCCCTCCCCGTTCATGGATGGGGGAGGGGGTTACGGCATTCTTGAAACGTCGTAGCCCCCCCCCCTCTATCCGTTTCCGGCAACGAAGGGGGCAGGGGGTTTCGGAATTCTCGAAATGCCGTACCCCTGCCCCCTCCCCGTTCCGATGCCGGGGGAGTGAGGGTAAGACATTCTCGAAACGCCGTACCCCCGCCCCCTCCCCGATCCGATGGCGGGGGGGTGGTGGGGTGGCGTTCTCGAAATGCTGTCCCCCTGCCCCCCTCCCCGTTCAGATGCCGGGGGCGTGGGGGTACGACGTTCTCGAAATGCCGTACCCCCGCCCCCTCCCCGTTCCCGATGACGGACGGAGTAGGGGATCCTGGCGTTCTCGATCGCCTTACCCCCCCTCCAGTCTACAACCGGGGAGAGGATATGGCATTTTGAGAACACCGTACCCTGTGTTCCCCTCGTCCTCAGAAACAGGGAGGGAGCGGGGGGACGACATTTCGAGAACGCCTTACCCCCGCTCCCATCCGCATCCGGGAACTGGGTACCCTCGCATACGAGGACGGAGTGCTGCCCACATACGAGGACGGGGTGCTGCCCACATGCCTTCGCCGTACCCCCACTACCATCCACATCCTGGGACTGCCCACATTCTAGGACGGGGTACGCCGTACCGCAAACGTCGTGGCCCGGCCTGTATCCCGGACACGGACGGGCCGGGGGTGCGGCGTTTCGAGAACGTCGTCCCCCCTTCTCGCACGCCGACGGGAGCCGTTCTTGGAATGGTGTCCGTTTGGTGAGTGTTCGAATAGGTATACGGCAGATACCGGGCGTCGATGGTACGGCATGTCAGCAACTTGCGTGAGGTGGATGTGAAGAGTGTGATATCTGAATTTAATCCGTTCTTTTGATTGTGATGTGTCTACCATCAGGAGGAGCATCTACCTTCCCAGAAAAGAAAGTCTATAACACCTACACAATCTATAGAGATAGGGAGTGGGCCCTCGATTGGGTGGGGAGGCTAAACGAGGCGGGTTGTGGGGCCGCCATGTTTCTGAAGAACGCTAAAGGGGATGACTGGTTCTGTGTTGGAGGGATTATTAAATCCGAGGATGAGAGGATCGACGAGCACGGATGGAAGTTTAAGAGGTTTTTTCTCACAACGGTGTTTGACGAACAAGGAGTGGATCATGCGAAGGCCAACCACAAAGTCAGCCTTGATTACACTTCTTCAAGGGGTTTGGCGCTAAGGCTATTACCATGAAAGCCTTCGACGTGTCCCCGAAAGAAGACGGGAATGCTAGGCCCCGTGAAATTCCTCAGCAAAATTAATGGTTACAGGAGATTCAGATACAGTCCCACGGTTGAGGGCGGACATCGTATGTCCCCGACATTCGTGCCTTTTGACACACCGAACGAGGATCTCCCAGGCATTGCAAGGAGTGAGAGACAGAGGAGGCCACATGATTTTCCAGTGCAACAGACGTCAGCCAGTGGAAGCCGGTGCCGCCACAAACAGAGCCAGTCGCATCACCCGCCTAACGAAATGGCATGTGATCCTCATGTGGGTTCCTCCATCCGGAAGGTCGGTGATGGACCGTCTCGCCCATCGAGCCGGCATGACGAAGACACCCGTGTGATCACGTACAAAAGGAAGGCCCCCGCAACTCCTACGTCTTCCAGTCGTCAGAAGGACAATGCTGGTGCGTCCTGGAGGGCGATGCTGCAGGAGATAGGCGAAGGATCGGAAGAGGAAATGGAGGATGATCCTAGGATCTTCGCTGCTCGATATCCGGAGGGTAATCATGCGGTCGATGATGAGGAATGTGGCGCCGACAAGGACGACCAGGGTTATGAGGACGACGAGGGTGAGGAATGTATGTAGGACTGCGAAGGTGGGGAGTCCCGACCGTGCAATGAGGATGACGACTGGGGCGATGGAGAATACGATGACTCTTATCCTGTCGTTGATGAACATGGAAGGTATGCGCACGACAGGGGCGTCCCGATAGACGGGGCGGCTGATGTGGAGGTCGACGAGGCAACAAGAGAGCGGTCGGAGGGCAGTATGTAGAAAAGGAAGCGGCAAGCTTCAACAAGTCCAATGGCGGTGTCGGATAAGCGCGCTGCAAAGAAACTCACTGTCGCTGAATCTCGACAGGCACTCAGTGTTTCTCAAGAGGCGGCCGCTGAAAGTGTGAAGAAACGGATAGGGTCGGCAAAAACGGAGAAACGTCCACCAAAAAAAATGTAGATGGTTGATGAAGTTGATTCTGGAAACGATGCCCAAGGGGTTCATCCAAGAGCTCTATTGGAACTGATATAACATTCCGACAAAACCCATGATGAAGCCATTGACACAACACGATGCTTCTTCTTAGAGTTCAATGAAGATGGGTTTGCAAAGAAGAAACGGGAACACATTCAAGTGGATGTCACGAAGATATTGCCAATTCTTGAAGGTGACATCCTCTTCAACCATAGAACATTAGATGAAACGTTGGTGCAATCCATCTATGATGCGATCCATAATGCAGCCAAGGAAACCAATGGGAAGTGAGATTTCGTGACTTTCATCCTGACTCCCATTGTGCCCACCGCGGACGGGTCTCAGGGCAGACGGATCACACCGGAGCAATTCGATGTGGAACTAGCCTGTACATACAACTGGTATGTTGTTGCTGGCCAGCACACGGCTGAGGCAATGAACATACTCATTAAAGTGATTAAGGTCAAGTCACCGGCCAAGAAAGTGTACGGCTTGAGGTCATACTCTCACGTACGTGTTGTCTACTTCAACGATGACACACAGAGAGGATATTCGTACGTCTCGACATTCGACAACACAAGGGAGGAGCGTTCCATCCCGAGATCGTTTTCGTCATCTGTGCGGCAAATCGAAACATTTTGGGATAAGAGGAATGACCGAGTCCGCCCTTCAGGCACCGTGTCCCCGAATGACGTTGAGGGAATGAAACGGAAAAAGAAATGGGAAACGTTCATGAACGCCGCCTGCAAAATGACACCTGATTCCGGTTTCATGAACTCGTCCCTCAAGAATTCTTTGGCATGTACGAGATAGGACTGTTGCCGAGATTTGGTGGTGTGAGATACGTCGACCTGATGGGAAGAGTGGAAGAGAGGCTGCCTGGGAAATACTTCCTCAAGGACAACTCCGACAAAAAAAATTATTCCACTGCATCAAGGCCAGAAAAGGGGCACCCGGCGCAACGGTGTCTATACCTGATTTGACGCCCACAATCTTCAAGCTGTTTGGCGATATGATGGTGAGAGAGAAGCAAGTGGCACTTCACCACATGATGCGTCGTGATGTCATCGTGTCATCACATTCGGTAGTTTGTAGTAGATGCAACATGGTGGATCTGGTGAAATATACTCGGCGTGAAAGATATATGATCAGTATGTTCAACTACATACTGTTCAAGGTCTAGGGCATGTCAAAAGAAGAGTGGAACGCAAAGTTTTTCATCGGTTTTACGACCATCATGGATAGGAACAACAAAAACGGTCTGACTGAAGAGAAATGGATTGACGAACGGGACCGCATCCCTGACGACAAGGTGAGGAAGGTGCCAAGGCGTTGGGCGGTCTTGATGAGGCAAATGGTGAGAACGGTGCGGGACTAGAGGCAACCCAGGGCATGTATAAGGAAGCTCCATTCCACCTCAACTGTTTCATTTACGATGCAATCGACTGCTTGGACGACCTGAGAGCGGAGGTTAATCGAATATCCTCCAGTGCTCGTCAGTGTCGGCAGAAAGAGGAAGAACGTGTGGGCTTACTTGTTCAGTGATGCTCCACAGCCGGCGGTTGATAATGACTACGTCGTAAGGAAAACTAAACTTGAGATAGCAGTGAACGAGTACCACGGCTCGCACATGGGTGCTTTCCACATGTTTGTCTCACATTGTGAGCATCTGTATTTCACTATGAAGAAAAAAGCACTTACAAGCAGAGACTATGCAGACTTGGCACGTAAAGTTGGAAACTTCAACAACATCGATTGCGATGAAGACACATCAGACTTTGACCTCGACGTTCCGTAGCACGTAGCGCGAGGTGTGGTGGAGGGACCAAATGTCGAGGAGCCACAAGGAAGCACCAACGGAGCTGCAGAGAAGGCGAACTCGAGTTTGAGAGCGGCACATGCGAGTGAGGGAAATGTGGAAACAAGGATGAATGCAAGCGGAGAAAAGAATGGTGTAGCAACGAACCGGTGGGTGCGGGATTGGAAAATGTTAACTTACAGAGCAACACAGGGGGATGAGAGAAGGGGTGTGCAATGACCCCGACGACAGTTGGACCATCATCGACAGATACACCGCAGGTCGGGCAGGGAACGGCCACGTTGATGGACACAGACGAATATGAAAACTTGGATATCAGAACACTCACATCGAAGCTCATGCCAGGAAAACCATTACCTCAAGGCTTTGCTCCAAAACCTTCAGTGTCATATTTGTTGCAAGACAAGTACAAGGAGTCATTGGAGGAGGATTGGGGTCATCATATCCTTTGGCATGAGGGTCTGTTCGAACCGTGCGTGTTCGCAGGCAAGTGCCACATGGTCGTGAAGACAAGAGACCATGGGTGGGTCGCGAAGGAAAGAAAGGACGCTGCGATATGGCACAACGTCACGAAAACACAACTCGTTCAGCGAGCAGAAAAGAAAATGTCGGTGAAGGTGAGGTGGCTATAACGACAAAGGCGAAAACATTGTTTGAGCATCTGCGTGCAAACAAACAATTGGAATTTAGCACAAAGTTCTACAACCTTGCATCAAGTATGTCGTACGGGTCCATCGATTGGAAAATTGAACAGGTGCAACCAGTAAAAGGAATCGAATGCATCAATTCTCTGAAGACTCAAGACGTCATAGTGTCTAACACCATCATCGCGATTGCTAGAGGGAACGCAACCTACGAAATGGACACAAGTGCAAACACAAGTCACGTGGACAACGAACAGCTGCGAGCATGTGCTCAACAAAGCACGCAGAGAAACGCAATGGGGATTCCACTATGATACGCAAGGAAGGCGACGACATGGAGTCAGGCACATTGACGAAGCAGCGAAGGGGGGGGATCAATGATGGGGCAACCGTCGTTGGATCTTTTGGGTCTCTTGTAGCGACAATGGATGCGAGGCAAGGCATATCTGAGATGATGGAGACCGATGCTGACGAGGATGGTGAAAGCGAGATGGTGAAGGTGGTGCAAGAGGAGGTGGCAGCAGCAACAGAGTAGATGAAGAAAGGTGAGGGATCCCGCGAACACAATTCCACAATAGATATGAGATCAGAGAGTACAGACGAGGATATGATCCAAGATAACGAGCAGAAAGACGAGGCAACACGAACAGTGGAAAGCAACGACGAAGAGGACGAGCAACGACTGAGACGGTCGACGAGAGTTGTGACTAAGAAAACTAAGTTTGATGTGTAGACGATGCTTAGACAGGCATGGGTGTCTACACGTATCTGGTTATGTTGATGTGTATTGATGTGTTACTGCAAGTGTTAATGTGAGAAATATGCCAATTTATTATTATGTTTTTCACCGCTCCTATGAATGTGCGAAAAGTACAAGTCACAAAGGATAGGGAAAAAAGAAAAAAAGTGTACAATATGCGTTATGCGAGCAACGTGGGTTGACTGATGTGTATGGTGTCCATGGCTCATTGACAGGTGTCACGAGAGGTACGGGGTGCTTTGCATGCCATATGTTAAGGATGCCTCAAATTTCAGAGAACTTTTTCTGTCATTTTTTAGCAAAACCCAATGATTGTTTTAACCAAACTTCCCACGAGCTCGAAAAATAGAAAACATATTAACTAAATGGAAAAAAAAAAAAAAAACGGTAAAAAGCATGTAAAACAGCAAGGTTGGAGTGCACTTGTATGCAAAATATTGTCGACATGGACATCAATGAACAGTTGGGAGCAGGGTCCCCATTGACCATAATAAATCGCAATAATTTTTATTGTCAGCTTTACACCCAAAAACTACAGTTATATTTAGCAAGAATCGTAGTTGTGTTATGCCACATTCCCCACGCAAGGGTGGAAGACGGGGTGTCCATGTCAACTGGCTACAGTGTCTTTTTGGCGGGATTTGGCAATTGGAAATTTGTCCACCGTTTCGGGCATGCAAATCATGCACGCCTCAATAACGATGGCTTACGGTCGCGCATACTGCATTATGTGCAGAAAGGAGGGACGAAGAAAAAGTACGAAGATGGAAAAAGGGATGGACGCTCTACTTAGCAACGGATAAGTTATCGGAGAAGGAGACGGCTACGGTACAACATTTGCGAGAATCGGTGCAAGGGGACAATCGGACGGTCTGGACATCTACGCACAACAGGGCAACAAAAAAAGAATTAACACTTATCGGGCGTGATTTGAGTTTCATATTGCTTCAAGGCAAATTGTTGAACACCGACATAGTTAACTTTTATTTGAACCTCGTTAGACTTGACAACATGTGTCGCATAAGTCATCGTGAGTGTGATATTGTACAAGACGGAACTACGGTAGAAGGAAAAGGTTGTATCCTGATAACAACAATTTTTAGTTCCTTCTTTTCACGAAATTGTTCAACAAGGACATGAAATACCAATATAGCGCCGTGCAAAAATTGTTGCCAGATATCGATATGGGTGACGTGGACTTAATAATAGCTTCATTTCATATTTAGATGTCCAATCATTGGACACTTGTGATAGCGGACTTGAGACGTCGGAAAATGGAGTATTACAACTCGCTTATGCCCGACATAGAATTGACAAGGAAAATGACAAGTGTTTTCGTAAGATTCTTGTATGAAAGATCGGTTGAATAAGGTAAGATGGTAAATACAAAAGAATTCAACCACATATGGAATGTGTCATGCATTCCTAGACAGCGCGACATTAACAAATGCAGTGTGTTTATGCTAACATGCGTCA